CAATCACTGAGATGAAACAAAGTGTATGCTTGGTTGCATGTAAAACTGATTATTAATTAATTCACAAAAGATTTTTTTAAAAAGAAATTAAAGCAAAAGATTTTATTGAAAGAAAAAGTGCACTTTATGAAATGGAATCACGTGGCATCTTACAATAAAATGTGATGTATGTCCTCCCTTGCAGGAGAATCAGCTTTTATTTGATAAAGCAAACAAAGGAAAAGTATTTCATATCAAAGAGAAGTGCAGGGAAAGAGAAGAAAATTTACATACTGGTAACAGATCACAAACTTTCTTAGCAAGAATTCTTAGTCAAACATTATTTCTTATCATCTGATAAAACTTGACTAAGGTAATTTTTCTAAAGGACACTTCATGTTTATGAGGGTTCAGCAGTTCAAAGCTACCAGCCACTCCATGGGAGAAAGATGAGGCTTTCTGCCCCCGTAAAGATTTATAGCCTTGGAAATCCTATACAGGTTCCATATAAGTTGGAATCAAATCAGCAACATACAACCACCACCACTACCATTCATTTCCTAATCAACCACAAAATAATGGCAGTCTTGAAGAGGAAAATAAGAGCATGTGTACAAACTGATTGTGTTTATACGAGACTGTACTGTTTTCAAATCACTAGTGCTTATAGTGGAGACCTAGTGTGGCACCATAGAATAAGCACTCCACCTCAAGGTCGGCAGTTCAAACTCACCAACTGCTCCTCGGAAACCCTATACAGGGTTTTTCTGAGTCAGAACTGACTCGATGGGATGTCACAACAACAAAAACAACGCTTATAATAGTATCCTTTTTTTTTTTATCACCAGTTCAAACCTGCCAGCTGCTCCTTGAATAATACCCTATAAATGTTGCTATGAGTTGGAACCAACTTGACAACACTTAACAAACAGCACTTTTCTCTATTAGCTTTCTTGAGTTACTACTATACATACTAGCATCAAATTCAATAACGATGTTAAGTGCTGTCAAGTTGGTTCTGACTCATAGTGACGCTGTATAGGGTTTCTGAGGAGGAGCAGGTGGGTTTGAACTGCTGACCTTGTGCTCCAGTGCTTTATCCTGCAGCACCATAAATAATAGAAATCCCTAAAGAAACCAGTGAAAAGTGATAAAAATTAAAGATTTTTTACTTTACTTTGAAAAGCAGGAAATATTCTTACCATTTATTTTAGTATGATTTGCTAGCTTGTTGTTGTTGTTGTTGAGTGCTGTTGAGTCAATTCTAACCCATAACAACCCTGTATAGGGTTTCCAAGGAGCAGCTGGTGAGCTTGAACCGCTGACCTTGCAGTTTAAATGGCTTTGCAGTCTGGCGCATTAATCCACAGCACCACACAAGGCTAGCTTACATATTCATTAATGTTTCTTGTTTTTACTCCATAATTAGTTGCCACTTCCATAAGAAGTAGGAATCATATTTTAAGCCATATGTGTAATATGATAGTATCTGAGCCTGTCAACATTCAGAGGAAGAATGAGAATCAGAATCAACACAAAGCTGGTTCCTTTGAGATAGAGATCAGATAGATAGATCCCCACTCTTCACCTTTTTTAAACCTTTTTTGACATCAGTCATCACCCACCTCACCCCGCATCACACTCTCACTGCTTGTTGGGTTTGATATTATTCATTGCAATAACACACACAACTCACAGACCATGCTCACAACTATCGGTTTTGTTAGCCTATGACTCAGGATCAGATTGGAAATATTCTTACAGCTGAGGAGACATGTTCTTCAGTCAGGACAGCTTCCAACCAAGACAGTTCTTAGCTTCTTTTTAGATGGTGGCCCTTTTCTCAACCTTGCCCCAGACAGACCTTCTCTCAGCCATGACCGCAGGAAGGTTTTCTCTTGGCTATGCCCACCACCAGGCCTCTTTCAGACTCTACCCTGCTTGGGCAAGTGTTGTATCTCTTGAACTCAGCCAGCAAACCTTCTGCCTCAAGACTCTCAGCTCTCTTGCTCCATGGGTTATAAACCAACTGCAATCATCTCACAGTAGTTTCCTGGTTCTCACACCTTCTGTTCTGTGCTACTGTGCTTTGCTATGATTGCTACTGTTTCTTGTCATTT